GAGGTGGGTGGATAAATGGGTGCATGACGGATGGGTGTGTGGATGGATGGGTGAGTGGGTGGATAAAAGGGTGGTTAGATGGATGGATGGGTGGATGGGGGGATGGGGGGATAGATGGGTGGGTGGATGGGTGGATGGGTGGATGGATGGGTGGATGGATGGGTAGATGGATGGGTAGATGGATGGGTGGATGGGAGGGTGGATGGGTGGGTGGATGGGTGGGTGGATGGGTGGATGGTTGGATGGGTGGATAGATGGAAGGGTGGATGGATGGGTGGATGGGTGGATGGGTGGATGGATAGGTGGGTGGATGGAAGGGTGCATGGATGGATGGGTGAGTGGTGGATAAAAGGGTGGGTATATGGAGGGATGGGTGGATGGGAGGATGGGTGGATGGGTAGATGGATGGGTGGATGGATGAATGGATGGATGGATGGGTGGATGGGTGGATGGATGGGTGGATGGGTGGATGGATGGGTGGATGGATGGATGGGTGGATGGGTGGATGGAAGGGTGGGTAGATGGATGGATGGGTGGATGGGAGGATGGGTGGATGGATGGGTGGATGGTGGATGGATGGGTGGATGGATAGATGGGTGGATGGATGGAAGGGTGGATGGGTGGATGGATGGGTGGATGGGTGGATGGATGTGTAGATGGATGGGTGGATGGAAGGATGGGTGGACGGATGGGTGGATGGATAGATGGATGGATAGATTGGTAGATGGATTGGTGGATGGATGGATGGATGGGTGGAAGGATGGATGGGTGGGTGGGTGGATGGAAGGGTGGATGGGTGGATGGAAGGATGGGTGGATGGGTGGATGGATCGAAGGGTGGATGGATGGGTAGATGGGTGGATGGATGGAAGGGTGGATGGGTGGATGGATGGGTGGATGGGTGGATGGGTGGATGGATGGGTGGATGGTGGATGGATGAGTAGATGGATGGGTGGATGGATCGAAGGGTGGATGGATGGATGGGTGAGTGGGTGGATAAAAGGGTGGGTAGATGGATGGATGGGTTGATGGGAGGATGGGTGGATGGATGGGTGGATGGGTGGATGGGTGGATGGATGGGTGGATGGTGGATGGATGAGTAGATGGATGGGTGGATGGGTGGGTGGATGGATGGGTGGATGGGTGGATGGATAGATGGGTGGATGGATGGGTGGATGGATGGAAGGGTGGATGGATGGATGGGTGAGTGGGTGGATAAAAGGGTGGGTAGATGGGTGGATGGATGGATGGGTAGATGGGAGGATGGGTGGATGGGTGGATGGATGGGTGGATGGGTGGATGGATGGGTGGATGGGTGGATGTATGGATGGATGGATGGATGGGTGGATGGGTGGATGTATGGATGGATGGGTGGATGGATGGAAGGGTGGATGGGTGGATGGATGGGTGGGTGAATGGATGGATGGGTGAGTGGGTGGATAAAAGGGTGGGTAGATGGTTGGATGGGTGGATGGATAGATGGGTGGATGGATGGAAGGGTGGATGGGTGGATGGATGAATGGGTAGATGGATGGGTGGATGGGTGGATGGATGGGTAGATGGGTGGATGGGTGGATGGAAGGGTGGATGGATGGGTGGATGGGTGGATGGAAGGGTGGATGGATGGGTGGATGTATGGATGGATGGGTGGATGGATGGAAGGGTGGATGGGTGGATGGATGGGTGAGTGAATGGATGGATGGGTGGGTGGGTGGATGGAAGGATGGGTGGATGGGTGGATGGATCGAAGGGTGGATGGATGGGTAGATGGGTGGATGGATGGAAGGGTGGATGGGTGGATGGATGGGTGGATGGGTGGATGGGTGGATGGATGGGTGGATGGTGGATGGATGAGTAGATGGATGGGTGGATGGATGGAAGGGTGGATGGATGGATGGGTGAGTGGGTGGATAAAAGGGTGGGTAGATGGATGGATGGGTTGATGGGAGGATGGGTGGATGGATGGGTGGATGGTGGATGGATGGGTGGATGGATAGATGGGTGGATGGATGGAAGGGTGGATGGGTGGATGGATGGGTGGATGGGTGGATGGATGTGTAGATGGATGGGTGGATGGAAGGATGGGTGGACGGATGGGTGGATGGATAGATGGATGGATAGATTGGTAGATGGATGGGTGGATGGATGGATGGGTGGAAGGATGGATGGGTGGGTGGGTGGATGGAAGGGTGGATGGGTGGATGGAAGGATGGGTGGATGGGTGGATGGATCGAAGGGTGGATGGATGGGTAGATGGGTGGATGGATGGAAGGGTGGATGGGTGGATGGATGGGTGGATGGGTGGATGGAAGGATGGGTGGATGGGTGGATGGTGGATGGATGAGTAGATGGATGGGTGGATGGATCGAAGGGTGGATGGATGGATGGGTGAGTGGGTGGATAAAAGGGTGGGTAGATGGATGGATGGGTTGATGGGGGATGGGTGGGGATGGGATGGGTGGTGGATGGTGGGTGGATGGATGAGTAGATGGATGGGTGGATGGGTGGGTGGAAGGGTGGATGGATGGGTGGATGGATAGATGGATGGATAGATGGGTGGATGGATGGGTTGATGGATGGAAGGGTGGATGGATGGATGGGTGAGTGGGTGGATAAAAGGGTGGGTAGATGGATGGATGGGTAGATGGGAGGATGGGTGGATGGGTGGATGGATGGGTGGATGGGTGGATGGATGGGTGGATGGGTGGATGTATGGATGGATGGATGGATGGGTGGATGGGTGGATGTATGGATGGATGGGTGGATGGATGGAAGGGTGGATGGGTGGATGGATGGGTGGGTGAATGGATGGATGGGTGAGTGGGTGGATAAAAGGGTGGGTAGATGGTTGGATGGGTGGATGGATAGATGGGTGGATGGATGGAAGGGTGGATGGGTGGATGGATGAATGGGTAGATGGATGGGTGGATGGGTGGATGGATGGGTAGATGGGTGGATGGGTGGATGGAAGGGTGGATGGATGGGTGGATGTATGGATGGATGGGTGGATGGATGGAAGGGTGGATGGGTGGATGGATGGGTGAGTGAATGGATGGATGGGTGAGTGGGTGGATAAAAGGGTGGGTAGATGGTTGGATGGGTGGATGGATAGATGGGTGGATGGATGGAAGGGTGGATGGGTGGATGGATGAATGGGTAGATGGATGGGTAGATGGGTGGATGGGTGGATGGAAGGGTGGATGGATGGGTGGATGGGTGGATGGAAGGGTGGATGGATGGGTGGATGTATGGATGGATGGGTGGATGGATGGAAGGGTGGATGGGTGGATGGATGGGTGGGTGAATGGATGGATGGGTGAGTGGGTGGATAAAAGGGTGGGTGGATGGGAGGATGGATGGATGGATGGGTGGATTGGTGGATGGATAGATGGATGGAAAAATGGGTGGATGGATGGAAGGGTGGATAGGTGGATGGATGGGTGGGTGGGTGGATGGATGGGTGGATGGGTGGATGGAAGGGTGGATGGATGGGTAGATGTATGGATGGATGGGTGGATGGATGGAAGGGTGGATGGGTGGATGGATGGGTGGGTGAATGGATGGATGGGTGAGTGGGTGGATAAAAGGGTGGGTAGATGGATGGATGGGTGGATGGATGGGTGGATGGATGGATGGATGGGTAGATGGATAGATGGATGGATAGATGGGTGGATGGATGGATGGGTGGATGGATGAGTAGATGGGTGGATGGATGGATGGGTGGATGGGTGGATGGATGGGTGGATGGATAGATTGGTGGATGGATGGGTGGGTGGATGGATGGATGGATGGATGGATGAGTGGATGGAAGAGTGGATGGATGGATGGAAGGGTGGGTGGATGGATGGATGAGTGGATGGAAGAGTGGATGGATGGATGAGTGGATGGATGGGTGGATAGATGGGTGGATAGTTGGACGGATTGGTGGATGGATGGATGAGTGGATGCGTGGATGGATGGGCAGGCGGATGGATGCGTGGATGGGTGGAAGGGTGGATGGATGGGTGGATGGATGGATGGATTGGTGGATGGATGGATGGGCAGTTGGATGAATGGGTGGATGGATGGAAGGGTAGATGGATGGAAGGGTGGATGGATGGGTGGATAGATGGAAGGGTGTATGATTAGTTGGATGGGTGGAAGGGTAGATGGATGGATGGGTAGATGGATGTATGGATGGATGCGTGGATGGATGAGCAGGTGGATGGATGGGTTGATAGGTGGATGGGTAGGTGGATGGGTGGGTGAATGAATGGGTGGGTAGATGAATGGGTAGGTTGATAGATGGGTGGATGGTTGGGTGGGTGGGTGGATGAAGAGGTGGACTTAGGGAGGGCCAGAGAGGAATCTTTCCCCCTTCACTGCTCACTGACCCCAGGTGGGCTTTCGTTAGGGAGAGTCCGAGCAGACATCTTGAGACTTAGACACCTTCCCTTTCCTGCTCATGGGAAGGAACCACAACCCCAGTTCTCCCAGCCCCATACTTTCTCTGGGACCCTCCCCCTTCCCACTGCTGGGAGGTGGCCCCCTAGAGGAACCTCCTGGCACACCCTGTGCAAAGCTAAGGACACTGTCCAGCACCAGGTTCTCCCTCCTGGGAGTCTGGGTTTCTGGGGAGGGGCTTTGGCATTCTCCCTGCTGAGAGGACACTGAGGATGCCCAGGTGGCATCCAGGTGTGGAGCCACCCAAACCTGTCACGTCCTCCCAGTTCACGGATGCCGTCAGGTCAGCATCCAGGAGTCCCGGGGGAGGACCGCAGGAAGGAAGGCATGGGTCTCCACGCCGCTCCCCAGGGCACTGAGCTATGGCCTGGGCAGCGGGTACAGAGCTCCCCCTGGAGGTCCCCCGGGTGCCCAGAGCTTCTCATGAGTGCCAACCAGCCCAGCTCAGCAAGAGGCTCCTCTGCAGAGGAGCACGGGGAGCAGGGAGGCTCACGGACGGCTCCTTCCCCCGCTGCCCCCTGCAGACTTCCTGCAGTAAGTGCGCATTTTCTCTTCCAGGACAAGTTGGTGGATCAAAGAAACGCACAGCGGCCCCTCTGACCAGGAGCCTCCGTCCTGCTGACACCCGAAGCACTGCCAGGTGACAAATCAGCAGTCGCGTCTCCTTTCTCTGTGCACCTGTGCCCTGTCGCCTGCACCTGCCCCTCTGCCTGTCCCCTTCCGTCAGTCCCTGTCTCCTCTGCCTCTTCTCCCTCTTGCTCTTTTGGACCATTTCTCTGATTGCTGGTCCCACTGTTTTCCGCCTCTGCTTTCTCTTCCCCGCTATATGCTCACTCACTCACTCAGTGGATCAGCTGGATTAACTGAGAGTCTACTATGTGCCTGGAGCAGCCGTAGGCACTGGGAGTAAGACAGGGGTCAAACCTGTGTTTAGGGAGCACAGGAGGCGGAGGCATGTCACTCAAGGAAACAGCACACAGAGGAGGTGGCCTCTCCACCGGGCACTGGCTGGCCCCAGGCTCAGCTCTCTGGCCAGCTGGTTTCCTGCCTTGGTCGAGCCCCCTTCCTGTCTCAGCCTGTTTCTGCGTTTCCGGAAGGAGGCTGTTGGGTTGGGCGGGTACTTCCCAATCTTTTCATGACCGAGAATGTCTTTCCTTGATGTGCTTAGTGACATAAGTTGTCTGGGGTGGAATTCTAAGCTGGCACTGACCCTTAGTGAGGTGTGAGGTGCCCTAAGTCTGGAGCACCTGGTTTGTTGTGCACGACACCAGCCACCAGCCGAGTGCAACTGGGGTCACGCTGTGCTACGGAACAGGCATCTGTCAGCACGGGGCACTCTGTGGCCGGGTGAGGGGCTGCTGGGATAGGCGTGGGGTGCTTGACGCGGCAGGGCCCAGTCCTGCACACCTGGGCAGGCCAGGTGAGCTGGGGACACCTGGACCATCTCCCAAGCTCTCCGGGTGCCTGCAGGGAGGTGAGTTTGACAACTGGTCACCAGTAACGAGTCCTGCTCCCTCACCTGTTGAAGTCTGAGCATTAGAGAAGCTCGCCGAGGCCGCGGCAGGCAGATAAAGCAGGGTTTATTTACAAAGGGGGACACGGACTTCTCCCACGGGGGGGAAGGGGCCACAGCTGTATCCTGGTATCCCCAGAAGCGAGGTGTCCTGGGCTGCCTTTGTTCCCTGCCTCTTCCCCTTACCTTCTCCTCCCGGCAGGTGACTGGGCCCAGGAAGGCTCCGAGAGACAGGTGGGCTGAAGGGGGAGGGCAGGTGGAGCCCAGGACGCATCAGTTGACAACCTTCTGGCTCCGGGTGTGGAGGGGCGATCCCTGGGACAGGTGACCTGAGCAGCAGGTGGGAGCAGGGCAGGTTACCTGGACAGGGCGGACGAGAGTCATTTGGGAGTCATTTGTCAAGTCTGAGGTCAATGTTTGTACTTGGAAGTCACACAGACCGCATGGGGCACATCTTGTGAGCAACCTGAGACAGAGGGTCCCCACCTGGGGTGGGCGTCATTGCTCCAACACCAGGACCCCAGCCCGCGTGCTGACCTGAGGGGAGGCCGGATCTCCGAGCTGTGAGGGAGTGTTGAAGTAACTCCGCATATTGGTACCTCGGGGAACCCAGCTCGAGAACCACTGAAGGCCATTCTTCTCCTTCCTCAAAACGGCCCCTCTGCTGCCTTGGAGGAGGGGCCTGGAGGCCTGGCCACCTGAAGGCTGGGCCCAGCGCCTCTGTGGTTGGTCCAGCCTTGAGGGGGGAGGTGACCGGGTCCAGCGACCCCCCCAGCCCCCGCCACCCTGATGCCCTCCGTGGGCCCCGTGGCCTTCCCTCCGCAGAGGGCCCCGGCTCCCTCCCAAGTGCCTTTTGAACATCTTTTTTGAGGATCAACAAAGTCCCTAGACTTCCTGTCCCACCTCCAGTTCCCTCCTGCTCCTTAGAGGTGGCCGAGGGGGCCCGCTGGCCACAGCTGGAGGTGAGTGGGTGGGGCCAGCAGCCAGGTCCCGACAGGGATTGGAGCGCGCACGTGTCTGTCATGCCAGTCTGGCCAATGGGCGGTGAGTGTGTCCCCAACGTCAGAAGCCCCTTAGAGAGGTGCAGCTGGCCCGGCCACAGACGGTGGCCCAGAAGACCCTTCCCTCTGGACGGTGGGACGTAACATGGCACAGGAGGTGTAGGGAGGTCTGAGCTTTGGAAAACGATGGCTGAAGGGACAAGAATTGGCTTCCCCTGCCAAGGGCGACGGAGAGCCCCAGCTTCAGATTAAGACAGACCCGGATTTGAATTCTGGCTGTGGCACCGCGCTGTGTGACCTGAGACAAGGGAACCACCTCCCTGAGCCCTGATTCCCTCAGCTGAAGAACGGAGGGCGTTGGCTATTTCCCTCGAGGGTTCAGGAGGCTGCGCCTGTCCTGGGCGCACAGTCAGACCCGCCTGCCCGCGGAGCGCCCGCTGCTGGTGGCTGTCAACCTTATTAGCTGCCATGTGCTGCTCCCTGGGTCAGCGTTTCCCATGAATCAGGAGGAAGGTTCGATTTTGATCCTACTTTCACAGAGAAGGGAACTCGGTTGCTTGCAGTTAGGAGCGTGCCCGGGGCGCACCCTGGCAGAGCTGGGATTCAGGCTGGGCATCCGCGCCCTCCTTCCCAGCGCCAGGCCTGCCCGAGGTGGGCACAGGGCTCTGCCTCCTGTCCCCGCCCTCTCCCTCCTGTCCTGTGTTTCCCACCTGGTCACCTCGAGGTGGTCGGAGGCTCTGCCCAGCAGACAGGTTCCTCTGGGGCCCGTCCTCTGCAAACCTGGCGCACTGGCTGGAACCCGCAGCGGACGTGGTCGTATGGAACACAGGGGGCTGTTCACAAGCCACTGTGTTTATTTTGGCCCTAATTGCTAAGCAGTCAGAGCCCCCGCAGTGGGGTCCCTCAGCAGGCAGAGAGGAAGGACCCAGAGCCAGCCTCCACTACACGTGTCTCAGCCTCGCCCTTCCGCAGAGCCTTCTGGCCTCCTAAGCCTGCTTTGTCCAAATCAGAGAGTGTTACAAGAGACAGACTCCTTACCAAATTCCTGGTCTGCTATTTTAAATAGAATACTCTGAGACCAGAGAGAGAAAGTGCTTTGCCCAAGGGCACACAGCAGAGACTTACAGAACATGAGCCCGGGCTCCAGACTCCCTGTCCAGTGCTCCTTATACCCTGCTCTCTGCCTAAGTATCTGCTCCTGGTCCAGGTGGGGCACAGGATCTGGAGGTGGCCACAGGACATCTCTGTGATGCTGGGCAGTGCACTTGGCCTCCCTGAGCCTCGGGGTCCTCCTGTGATCAGGTGCCTCCTGTCTCTTGTGAAAAGATTAAAGACAGTCACTTCCGTGGGGCTGGCCTCCAGTTCCAAGAGCACGGGTCTCTGCATACATGTGGGTTGAAGTCAACCCCCAGCCAAGGGGACAGAGGGGTCAGCCCATCCCAGCCTCTGGTGCCAGCCATGGTCCTGGTCTCCTCATCTGGTGGGAAGCAGGAACCCAGGAAGGCAGCGTCAGGTGTGGTCATTGTGAGGGCTGTCCACGCTGTGCCAGCTGTGGTGGGGGGCCTGGATGGGACTTCTCAACCCTCACAACACGCCCGGTGTGGTTGAGCAAAACTGCCCACTGTGACAGATGAGGAGACCGAGGGCCCCAGAGGCTGAGAAACAGAGGTTAAAAGGGGAGGAGCCGGGTTGGAACCTGGTGTGCTGGGCTCAGCGCCCCGCCCCCCCCCCCCAGGGCAGGCTCTGGAGCAGAGGGAGGGGCCGTCCTCCTGCAGCCCCAGTTCTGGGTGGCTCTGGGCTCTGCCAAAGGGTCTGGAGAGGGGTGGGCAGCTGGGGCATCCGGAGTGACCAGGGGTCCAGCCTGGCCCAAGAGAGGGCGTGGCAGAGAGGAGGCCCCGAGGGAGCCCCGCTGGCTGTGCAGTCTCCAGTGCTGGCCGCTGCAGCCCCACCACACACCCTTCCCACAGTGTCCCAGGAGGGCACAGCCCCATCCCCTCCCAGGATGCGTCAGGAGAAGCTGAGGACATGGTGGCCCAGGCACAGCCTGGCACCTCCTTTCCCTGCAGCAAAGCCAAGAAATGGCCGGGTCAGGCCCGTGGATGGAGGGCGCATGGCATGGGGGACGCTGGTTAGGCCTGGGCTCTGGTCCTGCCTGGGCCCTAGCAGGTGCCTTGGGGCTCTGATCTGGAGTGCTCTGACCTAGCAAGCACAGGCACAGCCACACTAAGGAAATGACAGGAAGCAGCTCTGTGGAGCCCTGCCCACTGAGCACAGGTGTTGCCCTTAACCTTCGCCAGGGACAGCGGGAAGGTGCTGTTCTCAATCACCACTTTAAAGTTGGAGAGAGCGAGGCTCAGAGAGGTGGGGTCATTTGCCCAAGGTCACACAGCACACAAATGGTAGAGAGCTCATACCCAGGCAGGCTGGCTCCTACATCCTCACTCCTAACTCCAGGTCCCCCGGGCAAATCACTGTCCCCAGGAAGAGAACTGTTACCATCTCCTTCCTCCACACTGCAGGATGAGGCTGGCCACGGGCCCTTCCGGGTGGGGACCCAGGACTGAGGTCCCTTGTTTTGCAGGTCCACCCACCATGGAAGGCGACTGTCTGAGCTGCATGAAGTACTTAATGTTTGTTTTCAACTTCTTCATATTCGTAAGTCTGGGTCTCCTGGGTCTCTGTGGGGTGTCACAACTGCTCCTGCTTTGAACTGTCATACGGGCGGGTCCCTGGGACAGGATGGACCCTGGATGGGGCGGGAGGTGGGGGAGCTCAGGCCTGGCCACAGCCTTGGGACCTGGCCCTGTGGGGAGCGGGGGAGGGGGAGGGGGCTTGGTCAGGGGCCAGAGCAGGAGCCCCCTGGAGCAGAGCCCGCACAGCAGAGCTGGAGGGACCCCGCAGCCACCTGATGTGCTTAGAAATCTCTCTGGGACCTGGGACCAGCACCCACCTTCCATTCCAGCGCTGCCCCTGCCAGCTGTGTGATTTGAAACACACCTCGCCTCTCTGAACCTCAGTATCTTCATCTGTCTTTGTGGCGTTAGGGATTGAAGCTGGGGCTCACGCAGGCTCGGCCAGCTCGACCTGGCCGCACCCCAGGCCTGCACTGTGTTCTCTTCTGAGGCAGCAGGTCCCAGTTTCCCAGGCTGGCCTGGACACCCTCCTCTCTCGCCTCCCGGGGAGCTACCCTGACAGCTGTGGGCCCTCCTCACCTCCTGCTGGCCCACTGCAGCGGGAGTTTGGAAAATAAAGCAAAGTCTAGATCCTCCGCAGCCAGCCTAGGGGCTCTGCATGGGAGGGGACAGCCTCTGAGCTCCAGGACGCGCGTTGTCCCCTGCCAGCTCCCTGAGTACTCCCAGCCTCTGCCCGGGGCCTGGCCCCGGGGACCTGCCTGACCCACCCTCCTTCCTCCCCGGGCAGCTGGGAGGCACCTGCCTGCTGGGCGTGGGCATCTGGGTCATGGTGGACCCCACCGGCTTCCGGGAGGTGGTGGCGGCCAACCCCCTGCTCTTCACCGGGGCCTACGTCCTGCTGGCCATGGGCGGCCTGCTCTTCCTCCTCGGCTTCCTGGGCTGCTGTGGGGCCGTCCGCGAGAACAAGTGTCTGCTGCTGTTTGTGAGTAACCTTTCGCCACATGTCACCGTGGGTGCTCTGGGGCCGGAGGTGGGCTCCAGGCCACCTGGAAACCAAGTCCTTCTCACTCCCGGGACCAGCGCCATGGGCACCTCCAGCCTCTCTCACTGTGTATCTGATGTCCCGTGACTGGCCCAGAGTCCCCCAGGGAGTTGGTGGCAGAGGGTTCAGAGTCCCCCAGGGAGTTGGTGGCAGCGGGTTCAGGAGTGAGATCTCAGGCCAGGGGTCCTGTGCTGGCCAGGTGCCTCCCCCCGTGCCTCTTGGGGCTTCTCCCAAGGAGCCAAGCCAGGGCCCCTGACCAGCACACACCCACCGTGTCCATGCTCCAGGTGCCTGGGGGACTGTCCGGGAACAGGGTGGCCCTCACCTGTGCCCCTCACTTTTGCGGTCCTGGCTCCCGGAGCCTGCTGTTTGTGCCAGGCCCATGCCTGCAGTTTGGGTACACGGCCCCAGTTGGAGAGTGGCCTTGGCCTCTGGGGCCAGGAGAACGTCCACATCATCCAGGATGTTTCTCTCTCTCTCTCTCTCTCTCTCTCTCTCTCTCTCTCTCTCTCGGGTACTAGGGATGAAACCCAGAGGTGCTTAACCACCGAGCCATACCCCTGCCCTTTTTAAAAAAAAAAAAAAAAATATATATATATATATATATATATATATATATGTATCTTAGTTTGAGACAGGGTCTTGCTAAGTTGCTCAGAACCTCACTAAGTTGCTGAGGCTGGCTTTCAACTTGTGATCCTCCTGCCTCAGCCTCCCGAGCAGCTGGGATTACAGGCACAAGTCCCTGCGCCCGGCTCATGACGTTTCTCTTTATTTTCTTTCAAAGATTCTAATACATAGCTCCTTAGTACCTAGCTATGGAGGACTCCTTCACCTTTCAGATAACCCAAGCCGAGAATAGATGGCAGAGTTTCTGGAGGGTTCTGACTATTTGTTAAATAGTCCTGTCCTATGATGGTTGTGCAGCTCACTTGGGGCTGAGGATGCGTGGGGGCTGGGGGCAGCATCCCCTCCTTGCTGGCCGGGATTGAAGGCAGACAAGCCCATGAGGATGTGCCAGGCAGTCGGCAAGCCTAGGTTTGAGAGCGTGCCTGCTCCCAGGCTGTGTGACTCCAGTCTGCCTCCTTACCCTCTCTGAGCCTCAGTGTCTTGCCCAGCTGGAGGCTGGGGCCACAGGGGACAGGGGTGGACGTGGTTCCTCTGGTCCTCCTGACCTCCTTACACTTGTGCTTTGCGTCTCTGCTCACCTTCCTGGCCTTTGGGTCATGTCTTCCCTCCACTAGGAAATTCACTGTCCCGGGGACTAGGACAGCCTCAGGCTGAGCCCTGCCCTGCTGCAGGTCCCTGCTTGGGGTATGCGTGTGGCCACTGTGGCTGCTCTTGTGGGCAGCGGGTGACGGATGGGGAGCCATCAAACCAGGAGGCCAGAATACGCGCTGCAGCCCACACTCACGGCACAGGGGGATGCTCCACATCCCAGAGAGGAAGTGGCACCAGCTGTGACCTGGGTGACGGGAGCTTTGGGGTCCATTGGTCATCGACCTGTAAACACAGCAAACTGTTCATTTGAGATTAAAAAAGAAAGAAAGTCCGCGAGCGCCCCCTGCAGGAAGTTCCCGGCCGCGTCAGAGGGAGCCCGAGAAGCTGGCCGCGGGGTCCCCGGGGGCTGCAGAAAGATCCGGGTCTCCTGGGCACTTACCTCCCCGCACCTCGGCCCCCGGGGCTGCCCGCTGTTCACGGACTGGGACACGAAGCCAGCGGGCTCTCCGCTGCCATCAGGCCCTGCCACTGCCACCATTAAGCTAAATGCTCCCTGCAAACCTTCCGGCTGCACCGTGTCCCCTCTGCTGGTGCCCAGGGAGAGACTGAGACTCGGGGATGGGACAGGACCTGCCACTGTCATGCTCCGAGAGGGCAGGTCTTTGCCACCCACTCCTGTCCAGCCCTACCTCCCCTGTCCCTCCAGCTCCTCAGCCTCTCCTGTCCCTCTCTGGAACTCCCTCTCCTCCGCCCCCACCAGGCCCAGCGCACATCAGCTGGCCAGGGTGGGTCAGAGGAGGGGACACCAGGACCAGGCCTCTGTCCCTGACAGGGCATGCGCAGCCGGGAACTGACCCGGGTGGTGCAAAGTTCCCCTGAAACCAGGCAGTGTGGTCAGGGCCTGTGTGTGTGTGTGCAGTGTTGTGCGTGTTCACACGTGTGTGTGTGTGTGTGTGTGTGCCTGCGTGTGCTGCGTGTACCTGCGCAGGCCTGTGGTGTGCACGCTCCTGGGGGAGGCTCTGCATCTTCTGGAAGGTTTTCAAGAAGGTTCATGACCTAAAAAATAAGAACTGCTTCTCTCTCCCAACCTGAAGAGGGGCACGCGTCTTCACCCCTGGAAGCTTCTGGGGTCTTCTAGAAGCCTTTGATTTCCTCCTTAACCTGCCAGGGGGGCCCGGCTGGCCTGGAAGGGGCTATCACTTCAGGACCCTGGCTCAAAGGTCTGCAGCAGGCAGCTGAGCAGCCTGTGTGCCCGGCTGAGCCCCCACAGGGCCTGGGAACAGTCAGCCTAATGAGCAGACCTCATACAGCCGGCTTCTGCACAGGCGTCGTCCCAGCACGCTGGTGGAGAAGCCTCACAGCTGTGTGCCACAGGACCTTGGCCCCTGTCATGGAAGCCGTGTGCTATCCCTTTCTCCAAGTTGCCTGCCTTGGACTAGCTCGAAGATTCTTTTCAGCCCATTTATTTAAAGATCCTATGGTAAACAATATATTTTAATAAAAACATGCTAAATCGGAAAAGAGAACAGTTGAAAGAAGAGATGAGCGTATTTAAAAGATAAATGAGCTGGATTGTACGTGAAGCATGTAAGTCTGGTAAATATTTATTAGAAATGAGGACTAAAGCAGACGTCGCCCGTAGGCAGACGGTGAGAAGCTCAGAGATGCTTGAGAGTAGGGAAAATGGCCGTTTCTGTGGGCAAAGTCGTTGCTGCCCCTCCCCATCCTAAGCAAAGTGTTGTGAGCCTGGTGTTCAGGGATCGGGGCCCCTGGGTGCTCAGGCCAATGGGATAGGTCAGAGGAGCTCCAGGCAGATGAGCTCAGGGGAGGAGGTCAGGGATCCCCAGATTCCTGGTGGCCGGGCCGTGGGAAGTGGAGGAAGTTCTTCCATGCTGGACAGGAGCCAGCGGAAGTGACGTTGTCACTGATGTGATCAGAGTAGCCCTGCCCATCCCCCCGTGTGACCCATGCCCACACTCATGTCACCCTCTACCGTATGCCGACCCTGCCCCCCACGGGAGCAGTGGGAGGGAGGTCTGCCCCCTTTCCCTGGGAGCTGCCCCCCTGGTCCACAGTGGCCAGATCATTTCCTCTCCTGAGGCTGCAGCTCAGTGCAGATCCCACAAGGCTGGGGAATGTGTCTGCCTTGAAAATTTTGTTTGCCAATGCCCAGCTCAGTGCCTGACCCGGGAGGTGCCCAATAATAGCCCTGGGAAGAAAGTACAGAGAGGAGACACCATCCTAGGTGTGAGAAAGAACCTGAGCTTGGCTGTGTGTCCTGGGGCTGATTACTTAACCTCTCTCAGATTCCTCATATGCAACATGGGGATAAGCACACCTCCTTCCCATCTTTAGTTTGTGATCGCCTGAGAAAATGTGGGCCTTAGCTCTGCTCCTTGTGTGAGTAGGCGCTTGGTAAATCGGAAATGAAGAGAGGCTGTCTGCCTGGAAGAGGCCCTGAAGACTATGTGCAAGTTTTAAGACCTGGATGTTCATATGGCTTCCAAGATGACGGGCCGTGAAGAGGCAGTTGAAGTCCCCGTTGTACCACTTACCAGCTGTACCAGCCTGGGCAAAGGACTGCTTCTCTCAGAGCCACACCACCATCAGTAAAATGGGGGTGCTGCTGCTAAGAGCCCTGCCTCCCGGGATGATGCGATGCTCCACGCGGGCGCCGGTGCCTGGATAGCGCATGCTCCGTCGGTGGCCGCAACTGCTGTTTTCCGGAGGTGCCCGCCAGAGCGCGGAGTTCCCTCCCCTTCCCAGCAAGAGTCCCAGCGCCCGCTGGGTCCTGAGGGTCTGGGCGCACAGCACTTGGCCGGGATCATCTGGTCCAAGCTCAGCGAAGGCATCGCGCGCACCGGGCTGAGGGAGGAGCGCAGGGCGTGCGCAGGACGTGCGACCCGCCTCCTCGGTGACTTAGAGCTCCGTCGGCCACCGCTGGGAGCGTCACGGAGCATGGACACCTTTGCCAGCCCTTTTCCAGCCCCGGGACCTGCCAACAGCCAGAAGCGGACAGAGGGCGGAGGGGCCCGTGCAGAGGCGGCACGATTCAGAGCCGGATGACCATCCTTCACCAGCCTAATGCAAGTGCCAGGACCCTGGCCAGGCGCCTCCATCACTGTCACAGGGAGGAGGGCTGTAGAGGCAGGGGACCTGCACTCGGTGGCCACTCGACCCAAGAGCTGTCCACACTCAGAGGAGTTGTGGTGGCCACAGAATGGTACTGCACCTGCCCCAGCCCAGGAGGCCCTCTGGTTAGGGAGCTCTGCTACTTGAAATTAGCCCTCCATGGCCCCAACTTTCAGGGAGTGCAGGAGCACTGTGGGGTCACCTGAGGTGCCAGGCAGGCCACATGGCTGATGGAGCGGGGTCACCCTTGGACCTGTGGGGCCATCCCTGAGCTGCCACCTCAACAGAGCAGAGGAGCAGGACGCACCCAGCAGAGAGCCAGTCGACGAGGAAAGCTGCTCAGATGTCCCGAGCTCACCCACTGGACCAGTCGTTCCCCTCCAGCACTGGGGCAGCCCTCCGGCACTGTCACAGTCACCTGGCTTTCATGACACACAACACCTGTACTGTCCCTATGTCTTTACCCGGCCCCAGCCCCAGGAAGTGGGGTGATCAGCCCACTTTATGGATGAGAAGACTGAGACTCAAAGAGGTTTGAATGACTGTCCCCAGTCACACAGACTGGGACAGACACCTGTGATGTCCTGACCTGAGCCCAGGACCCCTTGCCTCTGTCCATCCAGGATGTCCAGCGCATGCTATGCTGAGGGCTTGGGGTGCCACCGCGGTGTCGGTGACAGTGTGCAAGAGCCAGTCTCGGGCACATCAGGGATTAAATCCTGCATGAGGGTTTCCTGGTGGGGCGACAATGGCCATTGTAAGCGCCAAGGCTCCAGTCCTGGCGAGGACCGAAGGCAGGCCCTTCCTTTCTTGCGCCAGTAGCCCTCAGCCCACAACAGTGCCCAGGAGGACCAGGATCTGAGAGGCAGCAAGAGGCAAGGGCCGTTCACTCCTGGACTCACTCATCCGCCTGACAGCCGCGGGCCGGCCGGGCGCCTTCCCTGGGCACTGCGGCGCGGGGCAGTCCAGGGCAGGAAGTGCGCCCCCTGCCGACCTCGCGGAGAAAGGCTTCTCCCCTGGGGAGGGCGGGGCTTGCCCTGGAGTGGCAGGCAAGGAGGGCGGGGCTTTCCTGGCAGAGGCAGCCCCTCCTCCAGGGCCTTAAAACCAGAGGCACCCAGGCTAACCTGGGAAACAGCCGGAAATTTGGGGAGCCGAGCAGTTATATATCCAGCTCCCGGCCCTGGGGTTCAGATTCTGATATTCACAACACCTGGCCTCGGATCTTGCTTTTTCCTTCCGCTGAAGATCCAGGAGACCTGCTTACCGTCCACAGGAACCAGAGGTGGGGGGCAGGGAAAGGTGCCTGGGGTGACGGTGGGGAAAACCAGCCTGGGATCCCCCAGGGTCGGTGTTCCCACGCTTGGACACTCCACCTGGAGGGAGCCTGAATAGGTCTCCGCAGCAGCCTCCTACCTGGGTAGGGTTGTTCAGCTCGTGCACTGCACAAAGGGACCTTCCTAAGGGGCACCATTTGCATTATTTATTTTTTCACATTTTTATTACAACTTTGTTGATTCTAAAGATGGGCCATTGGTGTCTTTAAGACAACTGTCTAATTTGTGACAGTGCCGTTGCTGTCTTACGTGTTTAGCGTACCAGGTCAGTTACACAGCCGACCGGCAGGGCCTCACTGAGCGGCCACTCTGTCCCCTCCGGCCCGTGCTGAGGTCTCAGAGCCCGCCCCCTGTCCCTGCAGTTCTTCCTGTTCATCCTGATCATCTTCCTGGCGGAGCTCTCGGCGGCGGTCCTGGCCTTCATCTTCAGGGAAAACGTAGGTACCCGGCCTCCCGCCACCTGCTACCCACCAAAGGCTGGCGGCCACTCAGGGCCAGCCCGTCCTCCTCAGAGGGCCTCACGGAACCACGGCCTCTCATCCAGGGCTCCAGCCCAACCATGACCTGGACCCCCAGCCCCGAGGGAGGCCCCAGGGGCCTCTTTCTAGACGTTTCCAGAAGGTCACAGTGTCCTGCACTCCCAAGGCACCTGGTGCCAGCCAGGCCTGACCCTGGATCTCTCCCTTCCGCCCACCCAGAGGTGGCCTGTGACGGTTGCCACAGTCTGAGGAGGTTGGTGGTCATGCCTGAGCCCCGGCAGGTGTTGGGTGGCGCCCTGGCTGAGCCGGGCTGCTGTCCTCTGGGCGATGTGCCCCTGGGGGCCTAGTTTTCCCAGAGGCTCTAACGGCCAGGACATCGGCTCCCGCCCTGAGTCTCTGGGCTCCTCAGCAGAGGGACCTGGACACAGAAGAGAAGGGAGAGCGGGGACAGGCAGAGGCACAGCTGGCCCCGGGGAGGAGGCCCAGAGGGGCCAGGAGGCAGCAGCCTGAGGCAGAAGTGTGCCCAGGGGCCTCTGCTGGGCAGCAGGAGGTGGTCAGCGACCTCAGGAGAATGTTTTGGGAACAAGAGACACTTCCAAGGAGCAGCCCGAGGTGGGGGGGGGTGCAGCCCAGAGCCTGGGGGGCCATAAGCCCTCTGCTGGGGCGAGCTGCACGGCTGAGCGAGGCTCGCAGGGTGCCCAGCTCCGGGGGTGCCAGGACGCTTGTCACACCAGTGAGCGGGTGACCACGAGGGGGGCCATGGCCCTGGGGACGTGGTGAGGCCTGCCCTGGGCTGGCAGCTGAGGAGGACCCCGGCTCTCACCCCACCCAGCAGCAGATGGGGAGGCGGGGGCGGCGGGGTCCCCAGCGCTGCTCAGGCCCTCTCCCCTCCCCCAGCTCACGCGGGAGTTCTTCACCAAGGAACTCACCAAGCACTACCAGGGCAACAACGACACGGACGTCTTCTCCGCCACCTGGAACTCGGTCATGATCACCGTGAGTGCCTCTGCCGGGGGGGCTGCGGGCGTTTGGTCGGGGGTGGTCAGAGTCCTTCTGTCCACATGCCTGGCTGGACATCACCCCTGGGTGACAGCACTCCCCCACCGAGCCCAGCTCAGCACGGAGCACAGCCCAGACTCGGCGGGAGGCCTGTTTGCCCCTGTTGGCCTGGACACAGCCATGACCACAGCAACTGTGCATTGAGCACTTACTAGGTGCTGGGAGGCTGAATGGTCACTGCCACCCCACTGTACAGACAGGACACGGGAGGCTCGGGGAGACTGAGTGACCTTCCACAGTCACAGAGGACAGAGAGCCAGGCCGCCCCCAGTCCTTCTGGCCCCTGCTCTGGGAGCCTGCCGGTCCTCTGTCCCCGGCTCTGGCTCCTGTCCAATCCACCTGCTCGCTGTTCTCCCAGTTCGGCTGCTGTGGAGTCAACGGGCCTGAAGACTTCAAATTCGCATCAATTTACCAAATGCTGGCCCAAGACAGCGAGGAGGTGCCCGAGGCCTGCTGCCGGCGGGAGCCCCAGGGGCGGAAAGGGGTCCTTCTGAACAGGGAGGAGTGCGTCTCGGGGAGGAGCCTGTTCATCAACACGCAGGTATGGCCCTGGGCCCGCGGAGCTGGCTGAGGGAGTCTTCCAAACAAAGTGGGGAGAGACAAGAGGGAGATGAGCGTGGCCGAGGCTGGTGTGGGCATTGGGGTTGGGGTTCAGGGGTGCGTAGGAGTCTTCCGGTGTTTCTTGAGCTTGGTTTTGAAAGTTCAGGTCAGGGGAGGGGACAGACCAGAACTTCCCAGTGGGAATCTTCTTAGCCATGAACTCTATTCCACAGAAAGCTCACGTTTGTCATGTGGGAGCACCCCATGGTTCCTAGGGAGCAACCTGACTGTCCAAGGTCAGGAAAGCTTCTAGACTTCTCTTGCAACCTGAAGCCCTTTCCCTTTCCCTGTGTGTTGTGTCTGGGGAAATAGGGCCCCAGCTTTGCCCCTTCCGTGAGACACAAAATACCCGTGCCTGTCCATGTGAGTCAGCTGTCCGGGGCTGTAAGAAAATGACTGAGAACAATCAGGTTAAGGAGGAAAGGTTTCCATTTGCGGTTGGCTGGCTCCATTGCTGTGGTGAAGCAGCCCATCATGGCAGGAGTGTGTGGGGAGCAGAGCTGCCCCCCTCATGGCAACCGGGGAGCAAAGAGAGAGCGGCTGTGTAACAAAGCCCCTCCCCCAAGCCCAGTCCACTAGGAACCCATAAATGGATGAATCCACCGATCAGATCAGAGTCCTCATGATTTGGTCTCTTCCCCAACCCACCTCTGAACATGGCTGCGTGGGAGTCCTCCACACATGAGCTTCCAAACCCTAACACCTCTGCCCCGGCCTCGTACATGCTGGTCAGGCTGGGCAGGGGACAGGAGGGGCCGAGGGGAGCTGGGCCACGCCTGTCCCTCGTGGACTGAGGCTCTCCTGGGAGAGCTCTGGAGGCCCCAGAGCCAGCAGGACCAGGAAGCCAGGCCCTTGTCCCCGTGAGGCCCCTGGTCTGGTTAGAGGAAGCACAGGTCGGACGAGCTTCAAACAGCACAAAGGAACAGTGTGGCAGGTGACAATGGCCGTGACACAGGTAAAGCCAGGTGAGGGGCTGGAGCGGGCCTGGGGGCCTGGCTTTGGGGTCCCAGAGGAGGAGACTGTGGAGCAGGAGCCAGAGCCCCGAGGCCGAGGAGCCTCTACAGCCTCAGCAGGAGCCCAGCACCTCTCCCCTGCGTGGCCCCCGGGGGCAGGACCCAGGAGCCTCCTTTTGTCCCACACAGCCCTGCCTTCCTACACTGGGGGAAAGGGACAAAGAAAGAATGAGGACCCTGGGATCAGGCCACCGGGAGTCTGGGGCAGCTGGGGCCGCCCTGGGATTTAGGTCCCCAGAGACCTGCGTGGGTCAGCCACAGGATTTGGGGGTCCCGTTTCCACCTCAGGCCTCCAGGTTGAGGCCCAGCCTCCCAGCCTCCCCCGCAGCCAGGCCACAGAGTTCAGGCCAACAGGAGGTGAGCAGAGGTGGTGCGGCAGTCTGAGTCTGGTCCTCCAGAGAAAGCACCGTGTCCGCCCCCGGGGACGGCAGAGCATCCAGAGGGGAGGAGCCCGGGCCACTGACAGGCCGCAGAGCAAAGCGGCCTCCCTAGTTCAGGGTCTGGAGTGACAGGTGCTCTGTGCTCTGAAGGAGCCTGGGCTGTGGGTGGCTCGTGGCCAGACTGACCTCCTTCTAGGGCCACGAGCTCCTTCTCAGGGAGGCTGCCCATGGCCCGTTCCTTCAGGGCATCACCGGACCCGCTTCTGGACTCATCCTGTTAACACCCCACCCACCCACCAGGAGGCCAGTCACCTCCTGGCAGGGTGCAGCGTGGGTGACATGGTCCCCACCCCCCGCCGTCCCAAGGGCATCTCTCACAGGCCAACCCTCCCTGCTGGGCTCACTGCAGGGCCCGGGGGTCTTTGGGGATAATCCTGAGGGGGAGAGCGAGGAGTCAGGCCCCAGGGGTCACCAGCAGGGCCCAGGGTCCCCAGCCCCTTGCCAGCCGCCCGGGGAAGCCTGCGAATGCCGGTTCCAAGCTGGAGAAGGGAGTTGCTGCGTCTGCGTCCCCTGGTGCTGGGTGTGCGCGCGCGTGGTGTGTGACGGATTGTCCCCCAGCCGTCCCAGGCACACGGGGACACCCACACCGGCTTTGCTCACTTTCCCAACTTGGGGCACGCTGAGAGGGAGGCCACTCGCAGCAGGGACCGAGCACCTGCCACACACCACCCGTTCCAAGCGGAGCCTCACTGTGTCCCCCCTCCCGCCCTGGGAGGAAGCGCATCCAAATGGCCCATTTTACAGATGGGCACCTGAGGCCCAGAGAGGCTGAGTGAGCAGCCAGACCTGCCCAGCGGACCAGTGGCGGGCTGGGCTGTGACCCAGGCAGGCGGGTCCCAGGCCATGTGTGGAACGTCACCTGCCACCGCTCCCCTGGCCACGGCTGCCTCCTGTCTATGCAGCCCCCTTGAAGCACCTTACAGACCCAGAGTGTGCTGGGGCGGAGGCGCCCTGGCTGTCCCTGATGGGCAGGTGGCCCACAGCAGGCCCTCCCAGAGCTGATCCCAAGACAACCGCCTCCCCGTCTCCCTCCCCCCGGAGCAGGGCTGTGTCTTGCCGTTTGGGTTCAACACTGTGGCCTCTGGGGCTTTCCAAAGGGCCAGAGATTTCAGGTGGAACCCCGCAGGGGACAGCGGAAGACGAGGGCAGCCCTGGGCCTGGCGGGGGAGTGGGTCTCCTGCTAGCCCCAGAGGGACCCAGCCACACTGGTTCCTGACCAACTGGCCCGGGGTAGGGCCCCTGGGCTCCTCTGGGCTCTGTCCCAGTCACACAGCTGTGGCTAGGCCCCAGTGGCACTGCCAAGACAGGTCCAGGTGGGGAGACCCCCTCTCCTGGCTCCCGTCTCTGGAGGCTTCTGCCTCAGAACCTGGCTGTGTCCCCGCACTGCCATCTCCCAGGGCATCTGCGTGGCTGAGTACCTCCAGGCGTGGTTCCGAGGCACAGGGACCCACGAGCACCGAGGACCAGGCCACTGTGCTGGTGGGGCCCGTTCATACCTGGGGTCCAGGGGGGGCGGGGGCCTCCACTTCCCAGCTCTGGGCTCAGCCTCCGCCGGGCAGGGCAGGTCCCATGCCGCTCCCCCCACCTCAGGCCCCGCTGTTGGCTCCACGTCCAGCCAACGTGGTGGGGCTCCCGGGCGGGTGTCCCCAGGTGAGGAAGGAGCGCAGTTTTGAAGGCTGGGATGCGTTTCCTTAGGGCAGCGTCTAAAATCCAGGAATCCTCCTGCAGCCATCCAGGCAGGTAATGAGGATGGGTGTGGGACAAGAGGGACCCAGGGGGACTGCAGCCCCCAGGGAGCACTGGTCCCATGGATGGAGCAGCTGCTGGTAGGGCCATGCTGGGCCTTCTGATTTCTCAACAGCCGCAGGAGCGTGGACACCGAGGGGCAGTGCCCGGCCTTCCAGAGGCCTGGGCTGCTGGTTTTCAGCCCCGCCCTGGGGGCCGGTGGCTGGGGGGCCTCAGGGGCTGCCAGGTCTCCCGCGTCCCACCTCCTCCACCCGCCGACTAGCCCAGCAGCCGCTGAGCCCTGGGGCCACGGGCCATGACCCAGTGCTGACGCTGGCCCGCCCTGCAGTGGCTTCACCTCTGACCCTTCCCCCCAGGGCTGCTACGCGGTGATCCTCAACACCTTTGAGACCTACGTCTACCTGGCTGGGGCCCTCGCCATCGGGGTCCTGGCCATCGAGGTAAGTGAAGGCCCCTCCCCAGGGGCCAGGCAGAGCCAGGGCGCACCCTCCACCTCCCTGGGATCCTTGCCTGGGGGATCCCCGAGTGCGCCAAGGGGCGGTGAGCTCGGGGGCCTGCCCAGGCTGAGAGTCAACCTTGGGCTCCGGAGGTGACACTTCTGAGCCAGTGTCTGGGCAGTGGGACTGGGTAGCACTGTCACCCCCACTCCAAGGGGCAGGGTGTGTGTTTTGGGTGCTGTCTTCCAGGAGTGGGGATTGAGCCAAGGTCCCCAGGGCACACTGTGGAAGGCGACAGTGTCGCTGCTTCAGAGGACCAGCTACAGCCTGTGGTTGGGGACCAGGCCCTCCCTCGGGCGGGGCGGGGGATGTCCAGAGCCTTCTGGTCTTAGCCCGTTTACCCCCAAGTCCCAGCACCCCTCAAAAGGGGAGCGCTGCAGGCCTTGAGCCACCACTAGGTGGTGCCCCGGCCAGAGTCCAGCTCCTGGCTCTGCCTGTCCTCAGACCAGGTCCTCTGGGCCAGTTTCCTCATCTGCCCCCCCCCCCTGGCAGTGTGAGGGTCAAGGGACAGGGATAGCACATCTGGGGAGGTGCAAGGACTCTGGGTGGGATCCACACACTGATCGGCACCCCACTCCCTGCCCAGCCCACGGGCCCACTGTGAGGCCGACCTTCACCATGACCCTGGCTGGCAGTGCCTCTCACCTGAGCCTCGTGGCGACGTGGCCGTGAGCTGTGGCCGAGGGCTTGTTCCCTGTGCTCCTGGAAAGAAGAGCTCTGGGCGTGGGGACCGCAGCAGCTCTGATCACAGCGGAGTCCCTGAGTCAGGGGCTCTGCCTCTCCCACCAGCCCAGGGCCCTGAGCTGTTCAGCGCTGTGCTCCTAACCCTGGGGAGGGCCAGAGCGACCTGGCCTCTTTTTTTGGGGGGGTGTACCAGGGATTGAACTCGGGGGCACTCGACCACTGAGCCCTACCCCCCACCCTATTTTGTGTTTTATGTAGAGACAGGGTCTCCCTGAGTTGCTTAGCGCCTTGCTGTTGCGGAGGCTGGCTTTGAACTCGCGATCCTCCCCAGCTGCTGGGATGACAGGTGTGCACACCGCACCCAGCTGGCCTTTCCCCTTAATAATAGATGAGGAGCTTTTGCTGAGCATCTACTAGAGGACAGGCGTCAGGATGTGGTTAGCTAATTGCCTTCCACTCCTCTCTCACTGCCCTCTGTGAGCCAGAGGCAGAGAGTGCAGGGGTCCTGAGCATGGCCCCTGGGGCCAGGAGGCCTGGATGCCAACCCTGGCTCCCCGTTTGTAGCTGTGAGACCTTAGGCAGATTATGTGACCTCTCTGTGCTTTCTGGGAAAGCACTTAGAACTGTGCCTGGCCCGTGCTAAGCTGTGGTCCCATTCAGGCCCAGAGGAAGTGACCCAAAGCCACCACTGATAAGTGGGCACCTGGGTCTGAACCCATGATTTAGTTTCCAAAGTCGCCCTCCCAAGGTGACTGCCCAGGAGAACATCCGGGAACCCCTGCGCAAGAGCACCCAGAGGCAGAAGGGCCCTACCCCTGGGGTGGACTGGGCTGGGTGCCCCGGGGCCCTGGGCGCAGCCGGGCAGTCAGGTGGCTTTCTTCTTCGCAGCTCTCCGTCATGATCTTCGCCATGTGCCTCTTTCGGGGCATTCAGTAGAGGGCGTGGCCTGAGGACTGGCCCCGCCCACCAAGCCCAGCACCAGTGCCCCTCTGGGTGCCCCTGGCCCCAGGGCGGAGACGAGGCCTTCGTGGGCGGCCAGAAGGGCCAGGAGCGCACAGCTATTTTTTTAACAAGATGAAGACAGAAATGGGGACTGACGCGCCCTCGCCTGGGCTGGGACCCCGCGCCTGACCCGGGATGCAGCAAGGCCAGGCCTCTCGGCCCAGCCGGACCGGGCGCGCCTGGGCCTGGGCGCTCTCTCCCCACAGCTTCGCGACCTGGTGCCAAGAAAATGAGGACTCAAGAAGACACTGACAAAGCCCCAGAGCCCCCAGGAGACTCGGTGGCCTCACCCTCGGGGGCTCGGAACCTGGAGGGCAGTCCCTGCACTGCCAGGGGACGGATCTGTGTCCACTGTCAACAGGGGCCAAGGTGGGCTGCTGCCAAACACTGGCTCCGGGAGTGGCCTCGCTGGCAGTCCCTCCTGTCCCCATCTGTCGGACCAAATCACCTGTGAGGCCCAGAGAGGGACTGTGGGCTGTCGCGTCACACAGCACATGTGTGGTGGTTCTGAACAAGAACCTGCCTCCTCTCTGAGGTGCGTCTCTCCATCCGGGACACCATGGGATCCGCTGCTCACATACCCTCTGGCTCAGGATCCTGTTTTCCCAGGAAACATGGGCCGAGCTGCCAGGAAATGCCCCCTCCCGGCTCTGCAGCTAAGAAGTCGATCGCTGTCCCCCTTTCCCTCACCTCCCCACTTCTCCACCAGCCCCCTGCCATGGACACACAGCGCTTCCCCTGGGGCACACTGCCCACCTCTCCCCACAGGCTCCTCCTCCCTGTCCATCCCCAACTCCCTGGCCCCAGGATGAAAGAAACCCCCCAAATCTTCTGGTTCTCCCGGTTCCCACCCAGAATGGAGGCTTGGATATGTTCTGCAAGACTCCTGCCAAGAATTCTCCACCCTCTTCTTGCATACCTCCAGGGACAGGGAGCTCACTACCTCCCCCGGCAGCCTTTGCACTGCTCCCACCCCAGTCAGCTCGACAGACAGAACAGGCTTCTGCTTTCCTCTGGTTCCGTCTGTGCGTCCCACTTGCTCCTTGCCCTTCCTGAGGGTCAAGTTCACACATTGGCTCCCAGAAGCCCTCTTGTCTGTAGGCTAAAGAGCCCCTCAGGCATCTCAGCCATTTCTGCTGCAACACAGTGTCCTGTCCTTCTATTGTCCACGTGATACTTCTGTGTCCCCCCCAGGCTGCAGCAGAGATTTCCCCACAGACCCACAGATTCCCCCACACACAACCTCACATCTGTACAGGCGTCACATTCCAAATCAGTGTTGGCAAGTAGATAGCAAGATGCCTGGCCAGCCCCAGCCCAGCCTCACCTGAGACAGGGCCAGGGCCAGGGGCCTGCCTGCTCTGGACCTGCCCAGCCCTCAGCCCCAGCTTCCCGGAAGGCAGACGGCTGGCCCGGGTTGACCAGAAATCCCACATCTAGGCTGGACAGCCCGGGTCCAGGGGCACCCCAAGCCTCCAGGGCCCATAAAAGTGAGGGTGTCGATGAAGGGCAGATCAGGAGGGGCATGTGGCCCAGGTGGGCCCAGAGTGGCTCCGAGACTCCTCCCCAAGGGCTTTCTGTAAAAGTGCCCAGGAGCCTGTCCACCCCCACACGACTCCCTGCCCTCTGCACCTCTGAGCTTGAAGGGGACACAGGGTTTCTGTCCCTGTGGCATCTGCTCAGGCTGGTAACAATCTGCAAGATCCCCTGAAGTCACCGTCAGGGTCTGGTAGACACTCAGCCCCCGCCGGGGCAAGAGCTATGGCACCAAGGACCCTGTGGGTGTGGCCCAGCTGCCAAGCCTGATCTGTGGGCAGGGTCAGGTCGTCTGGGCTTCTCCAGAACAGCCCAGCTGAGACTGTCCCCGACTGAGCCAGCAGCAAGGTGGCCCCTGCCCATGCTGAGCCTCCCCCCACCCTTGTTAGTGCCCAGCCTGCTTCGGGGGCCCAAGGGGCCCAGACCCGACGGCCCCAACCTGCCAGGGTGGTGGCCGCCCCTCTGCCCAGCAGCCCCCCTCCCTTGCTCTGTGGGTCGCATGTTGAAGGTCTGTTTTGAGATCCACAGAGCTGTCACCATCCCCTGTGAGCCCCTTTTGTGCCGCGCCTCAGGAGGAGTTTGTGACAGAGAACAGGACGCCGCGGAGGGTTTTGCACTGGTTTTTGTGACTGTTTCTTACAAAAAGAAAAAGGAACAAAGAATAAATAGTGACCGTGAAGAATGGGGGTGACTCGGAGGGGGCGGGGCTGGAGGGCAGGGGCTGCAGGTACCCCCAGCTCGAAGGCAGAGGCCCCCGGCTTCCCTCCTGAGACCCGGGGCCCCCACCCCCTGCCCTGTCATGGCCTCCTTCCCAGCCACACGTCATCCCCGTGTTGATGTCCCCCCAACCTGCTGCCCCCAAGCCACACAGACCTCCTGTGAGCCGCGCCCTCGCCCGGCTCCCCGGGCTCAGTGCGTTGTGTGACTAGGGCCATGTGACCCACCGCGCCACCCCCAGGGCAAGGCCGGCTGCCCTCCGCACCCCGCAGCCCAGTGTCTCTGACCGGTGGTCCCCACCATGCAATGCCACGGCGGCCTGACTGCAGCGAGGGCTTCCGTCTCCCCAGAGGGATGGGACCCACGTGTCCAGCAGCTATGGGGAGGACAGGCCAGCTGTCACCACTGGGGATCAGCTGGGTCTTCAAAGGTCCTTGCAGACAGGGCGGAGCTCCGGCTGCAGGCGGGGGCACCTTCCCTGGGCGGCAGCGGGTGGCAGGGGCTCCCAGGCCCGGGCTCCAGACTCAGCGCAGGAGGTGGGAGGTGGGACACCCAAGGGCCAGGGCCAGCTGACTGGGGAGGGTGCCCACTCAGAGCACCCTCCCACACCGCCAGGCCATGATGACCAGCAGCACAGCCCAGCCACCAGCAGGCCCCTCTCCTCAGCTACGTAACCCGGTACAGCCACCACTCTGCTGGACACAGGCCACCGGGTGTGTGGCTGCAGGGACACTAGGCACAGACTGGGCAGGAGAGGGTCCCCAGGCAGAGGGGCACCTGCAACCATCTCTGTGGCAGCAGCTGGACTGACCGCACCTGCAGGCCTCCTCACCTACTGCCAACCCTGCTGTCCCCAGAAGGGAGGCAGGCTGGCCCGGGGCTGGGGCTCTGCACACCTGTCCCTGGGACATTGCCACCACTCCTCAGGCAGCCTGTGTGCTGCAGGGAGGCAGCGCTAGAGGGCGAGGACTAACAGGACACGGCAGAGGACGGTGGCCCGCAGGAACCAGACCAGGCCCTACAGCTCCAGGGGCCACTGACAGCCGTCTCCAGGGCGATGTGGGGAGGAGGGGGAGGTGACAGGAGGCTGGAAAGCTACTACTGCCCCTGCAGAGCCTGAGGGGCACCGAGCCCCACCCAGCCACGCTAGGGGCAGCCAGGGGCCAGGCAGCAGCACCCTGGGGAAGGAGAGGGGGACAGGGGGTGGGACAGGGGACACTAGACCTGGAGGACATGCCAAGGGACAAGGAGATACCAAGTGTTTTCTTCCTCGTTTCTGAGCCCACAGCTTACGAGTCCGTGTGTCCATCTGTGTACACAGGACATGGGCAGAGTGCCCAGAGCAAGGCCCCCGAGACCCAGGTGGACCAGGCCTGGGGAGGGGCCAGAGCGTCCAGCGGCAGGTGGCCCATCCTCGTAGGAAGCTCAGAGACAGCCGCCCGCCTGGCCCTCGGCTGGGCTGCGGAGGGGCTGCGTGCTCAGGTGCAGGAGGGCCTGGACTGAGGGACACTGGCCAGGGTCAGGTTCTCAGCTTTTCCAGGCACAGAGAGAAGTCAGGTTCAGCTGCTCGGGCCATAGATGGGTGGGGTCAGGGGGGTGGCAGCCCACAGCCTCTCCCACGGGAGGGGGGCTTCCCTGGGGAGGAGCCCACTCAGCCCTCGCTGCTGTGACCACGATCCTCAGCTGGTGCCTGTCGAGGGGACCTGGGGGCCAAGAGTGCCCAGGGAAGGAGGTGCTACTGTGTGCGGTGAGGAGTGGGGTACACAGGCCCCATCTCCCCCAAGCTGGCATGTCAGACCCAAAGGCCAGAGGTCACCACATCTGGGGACTTCCCGGGAGAGAAGGAAGGTGCCACCGGCTGCCTGGGGTGGCTGGGTAGGAGCAGGGCTGCCCCCTGCCTTCCAGGAACCAAAGGGGAACGCGGCCCCACAGCCACCCTGGCCAGGCCCGGCAGGTCCCCTGGCCGGCTAGACTTTCTTGGGTTTCCGGCCGACTTGGTAGTAGTAGTAGATGCTGATGACCACAAAGAGCAGGCGGCTGGCCAGGAGCAGCAGGATCCCCAGGGACATGAGGCCCGTCTCGGCCAGCGTGGCAGTGACCACTGAGGGAGGAAGGCCAGGGAGGGGTCAGAAGTCAGGGGGAGGATGTGTGCCCCCTGCACACAGGACTCCGGACTGAGCCAGCTCTGTGCCCGGGGTCCTGTACCACTGTCCCCTCCTTCCTCACCCCAGGCAGGTGCCCTTGCTTTCCTGCCAGCCCCAGAGCTGCCCCCGCGCCTCCCGCGTCTCCCACACTGTCCACCTCGACACTCACCCAAGAACTGCACCCCGAAGTAGCAGGCCTCGGTGAGCAGGGTCCACCGAATGATGACCTTCTCCGCCGTGTAGAGGGCATTCCACATGATCAGGGAGATGCCTGGACGGGGACAGGGAGCATGGGAGTGGGGACAGCCTGATCCACCTGCCCCGGGGGCCGGGTAGGGGCCTGCTCCTCCTACCCGGGCCCCCTGCAGACGACCAGACCTAGAGGTCCCCATGCCAGCCCTGCTCACTCGCAGGTCGAAACCCATCTGCGCCCAGCCCATGCCCTCTGGGTCCAGATCTGCTCATGCCATTTCCAAGGCCCTGTGGGACACTGAGCCAACACTGTCCCTTGCTGGGGCTCAGCCTTCAACTGCAAATGGGAGGGGAGCTCCAGACCTGGGCCTGCGTCTCCCTCAGTCCTGCGTTGATGGAGTCCGTTCCTGCCACCCTGGGCCCTCGCATGCTCTGCACCCCCAACTCCCACCAGAGCCCTCTGTGTGAAGGCGGTGCCGCCCCGCCCCCACACTCCCCCTCAGTCCCCCCCTCAGGGGGGCATGTGCAAGGACACGGTGGCTTCTGAAACTGGGGAGTGGGCACCATCAGCTGTGGCTGGAGCCCAGGGCCCCTGGCAGGATAGGGGGGAGGCAGATAGAGGGAGCCGGCTGGACCCTGAATGTCAGGCAGAGTCACCAGGGCTTTATTCTGCAGGCGATAGGGAGCCATAGCATGTTTTAGGGAAGGGAGGGACGCCACGGATGCCGAGCTTTGAAAACTGCAGTTCACCTTCCTAACGGCCAGCCAGCCGCAGCGAGCGACTCAGATTAGAGGAAGCAGAGCAGGTTCCTTGTCTCCGCACCCCAGTGCCCAGGGGGCCGCCGGGCAGACACCAATCCTGGCGCATCCCACCGGTGGCCACAAGATGGCAGCACACACCCAGCAGACGCACCACAGGTTGGGCAGCTGCGGCAGCCAGCGAGGGAAGAAGGGCCCGCAGTGCAGGGGAAGGTCCCCTGGTGTTCCCTCAGCCCAGCTGGGTCTCACCTCCCACCCCCCGAATACTCACTGAGGAGGGCGCCACCGTACAGGCGGATGGGGGTCTTGCTCGTGACCTGGGCTCCATCAAAGACCGCATCATAGAGCTGGTCAGGGAAGGCCAGGGCCTGTGGACAGCAGGGGGGCTCCAAGGTCAGGCTCAGGGAGGGGGTGTACCCCCTGGACTGGGGCCAGTGTCCTCGGGGCAGTTCATCCTCCACAGGAGGGAGGGAGGCTCTGGGGCTCCCGGGGCAAGGAGCTGGGCTGCAGCCCATGGGATGGGGTGGGGACAGGTGGGGACAGGCCTGGGGAGACACCAGAAAGCCCTCCCAGGGCCAGCATGATGGCAGCATGGGGACAGGCTGCCAGGGGCTGGCAGGAGGAGCCCCTGGGAGGGCAGGGAGAGGCCAGGAGCCACACCCAGGGCC